GTATGAAGGAAAAGAGTATTCAAAAAAACCACAAAAGAAGAATTTGCAGATGGCAGAAACTGTTGTTTATCCTAGTGTGCGTGGGCGCATAAATACATTTAAATGAATTTATTTTGAAAGAAAAAAAGAGTTAAATGATTTTCCGCCGCTGATAAGAATGAAAATGACAAACGTTCACTCCGATGAAGACACAGCACTGTCGTAATGTTTGGACGGCTGCAAATCTATCAGTGCGCTCCGATTCCCCTCAGAGATTTGCTCTCCAAGATCTAAGTAGCACCTGAATCTGCATGCTGGAAGATGTGCGGAGAACCTGGATTCAGCCCGAGTTGAATGGATCTTTTCCACCATTTACGGTGAAAGTCCTGCTTTTTACCAGTTAGTTATTAACCAAAGCTCGGGGAACTGTAATTAACTTGAGATTCATTGTCTGTCTCTGCCTACAAATTACTCCTTGACTACTTGTTTCGGGCTAAGCACACACTCATTATCTCCCACTCTAATGGTTTTTTCATTCATTTTTTTTAAACTCCAGCAGAGCCAACTTGTCTTCAGGATCATGCTGTGCAATATCAAATTATCAAAGTACATGGACTGCTTATTATCTTCATTACATCTCCATTTGTAACGACTTTATATTTTCCACTGACAAATATGCCTGTTATAACATCAATCTCCCCATATTATTGATATTTATCTGAACTTAATGCCCCAACATCTTTGCCTGTGTTGACACTTATGATGTAAAATGAAAAGTATTATTGGATATTTCTTTTTAAACTGATTTCCTATGATATGTTAATGTGTTTTTAATTAAAATGAGTAGCTGGTTGATAGCTGGGAGTGAATAACAGATAGAAGATTGTTTTGTTGGTTGATCAAAACATAGTTAGAAATTAAGGAAACAGACCAATTCATGTTGTTGCTACAGCTGAAGATTATAAACTATTTATTGAAAATAGCTATCCAAATCGTCAAATGTGTGTTAAGTAAGGGATACTGTGCCATTCACAAACCCAACGTTTTGTGCTCTCCAAAAATATTCAAAAAATGATATTCAAAAAGAATCCCACTGTTATTTTTTATGGAAGTACAGTGATATGTTTTTTTGGCAGCAGCTGACGTTAACCAGAGTTCTTTCTTCAGATTAATATGACTGCACATAGTTCCTTGATCAAAGCATAGCAGTATCCTCAGCAGCCGCCTTGCTATCGAAAGACGAAAGAGAAGACCCCTCAATATTCAAGTTAACCAGAATGGTGTATTCAATTAAGCTGTGTTATATCTGGCAATGACTCTGAAAAAGACCCTGAAAATGCTGGATGTATACAGTAACAACAACCCTTACATGAAATGCATGTCATTTATTTGAATCATATCATTTCAAGCCTTTATTTAACCAGGTGTAACCCTTGAGATCATTGATCTCTTTTTCAAGGGAGACCTGCTCAAGTAGGTTCCACATGAAACATAAAACAACAGAACAAAAAAAGGACATCATACAGCATCATTACACAGATTACAATTTACAACTAGAGAATGCAATTCCTGAAGAAATTGCTAGTGGGAATGCTTTATGCTGAAAAGCTGACGCTAAACTGCTATGCTGAAATGTAATGTGTTAGAAGAAAGTGAAGAATTTAGATTGAAATGATACATGAACACTGGGGGCTTGAATGTGTGATGAGAGACGAAAAGAAAGTAATAAGGCTTGGAAAAGCAGCAGAATATTTTAACCGCAAACTTTTGAACTAACTTGATGGTGAATGATCTGTCACCATGCCAACAGCATTTGATGACATCCCATAATACGCTTTTTCACTGAAGTTATGAGAAAACCGTGTTTCATGGCGAGCATTGTGTTGCCATGGCAACAGCATTTGAAGAAATCTCAAAGCTGTCCAGTACAGTACAAATCAAACTGTAGACGGTGTGAAAGTGCCTATTGTTTTAAATAATGGTCGGAATGTGAGCCTATGGTGAGATCTCAGATTTGGCGTAAAGCTGTTGAGGCATGGACCGGTGATATACAAGCGAAGTTTGGGGGACGATCGGACCGTGTCCATTGGAGTTACAGCGACATTGTGTTTTATGGCGAGGGATGCATTTCCATGGAAACGGCATATGATGACACCCCATAATTGACGTAGAGCTGTTGAGGGCTGGACCGTTAACCACTATCTGAAGTCTGCTGCTCTGAGCATGTCAGTTGGAGTTATGACATCATCGTGTTCCATGACACAGGTGTTTATATTTGAGCTAACGACTGTTCAGAGATCAAAGGTTTCCATGGTGATCAAATAAATGTGGCAAAGGCTCAAATTTGTTGAACAACACATTTTTAACAGGTTTGTTAAAGGTGGGGTAGGTAAGTTTGAGAAACCGGCTCGAGATACACTTTTTGTTATATTCATTTGTTAAGTGATTTATAAGAGTCATGTTTAAAGATGTGCAATACTTAAAACGTTTATAAAGGTCCTCTGAGTGCGTGTCATTAGTTAGCTGATAAAATGTTAGGGATAAATACCTTGACATATTGACTACGAGTACTTTAAAGGGTTCATGAATAGAGGGGACTTGAATGTGAAATAAGAACAATAAAATAAAAGTCTAAATGCATGAANGTTGAATGAAAGGTGAAACTCGTAAATATACAGGACTGTCTCAGAAAATTAGAATATTGTGATAAAGTTCTTTATTTTCTGTAATGCAATTAAAAAAACTGTTTTTTTAATTGCATTACAGAAAATAAAGAACTTTATCACAATATTCTAATTTTCTGAGACAGTCCTGTATATTTACGAGTTTCACCTTTCATTCAACTTATGTTGGATATGCCTAAGTGAGCAATACCACACGCAACGATAGTGATTGTTTTCTGTTATCAAGCTAGTCATACCAAGAAAGAAAAGGATAAAATCTGTGAAATATATAGTTTTACCTTTTTACTGCTGTTATTACTAGCAACCACTTCCTTGATCTTCATTTTATTAACGAATGCTTGCCTCTTTATTTGAGGCAATTATGCTGCCCTCTTGGCCAGGTCGCTCTTGAAAAAGAGATTTTGATGAGACTTTTACCTGGTTAAAGGTAGGGTAGGTAAGAATGGAGAAACCAGCTTGAGTGTGCTAGAATTTGAAAGTACGCAGCCGAAAAAAATCTGCCCCTTCCTTCAAACTTCCTTACAGAGCCCCTCCTCCAACACACACGAACAAGCACATGACCAATGAGGGCACGAGATAAGTTTGTGCACGAGATGGAATGCTGACAGGCAGGTAGGTCATCCAGTTATTTTAGCCGGGCCGGGGCCACTTTTTACAGTGCCACGGCTTCCACAGATGACATTTTTTAATGTATTTATTGTCAAAGCATTTAATTTACTCATTGCTATCGGGATGTTAAGAGCATTCCATGGAATATAACACAAAGTGTTTCTGAAGCGAATTACCTACCCCACCTTTAAAAAAAGGATATATATTTAAAATGTCAGTCTGCTCTTGTAGTCTGTGCTTTATCTCCACTGTCCTCTTTGCTGAAAAAAGTGCCAGTCTTTCACAATAAAACAAAAACGTCCTGCTACCAATGAATACATCTTGATAATATTAGCAGATTAATATGTTAAAACAGCGCTCCATAATGTTCACTTTGGAGAAAAACAAACATGCTATTGGTCTCAGCTGCTGCCTGCCTGCATTTAGATCATTTTTACTTGAGATACATTTATTTTGTACCTGTTACCTAACTGATATGCGTAATCACCTGTGCAGAATTAAATATTGAAGCTAAATATATGAAGGTTCAGTGCAAAGCATGACCTTTAAGCTCACTGAGAAACTGCCTCTGCAACAAACTACTAATGACAACTGTGCTGTTTAGCATACATATCAGCATTCTGTTAATGTTTGCTAAATATACTTTGTGTATTTACGCATGTGTGAGCGCCAGGGTAACAAAGGTCCTTCTGGGACATGCCTGAAAAGGTGAATGTCTCTGTATGAGTGCACAGACGTGTTATAATAATAATAATAATAATACATGGGACTTTTATAGCGCTTATTGTGTATGCATGAGTGGGTGGCCTGACCCCGCCATGACCAGGACGGACTTGACGGCTCTCATGCCGAAGTCGTAGTGGTCCTGCTGAGACAGCTGCTCCGAGCACAGCTTGTACATTTGGGTCATTTTCCTCGCCAGGGTCTTACTGGACTCGAATCCCTCGGAGTACAAACTCACCTGCAGAGAGCGGAGAAACAAAGGAGTGAGAGACAATTGGAAGAGAAAATAAACCAGCATAATTCAATCAAGGCCCACGCAGGGTTTACCTCAGCAATCAGGGCATAGTTGGGCACCATCATGGCGATAGGTCTGAAGAGAGCTTTGAGGTTGTCGGGGAGCTCTGTTCTCCCGGCGTATCCCGGGTTCATGGTGATGAACGCAGCACACGTCATCACCAGCTTGATCTCCCGGCCCTCAAAATGAAACTTGGACAGCTGCATGGAACAGTGGAGGGAAATGTTTATGTGCGAGTGTGACGTCCTAAGCAAGCGAGGAAAGTCTGATTGCGTGTGGCAGCAATTTATGGACCTGAATGAATTCTAATTGATGGAATCTGTGCTGGCTCCGAATCTGATGGTCTCCATGGGAATAAACAGTAATGCTACACTAGATCACAGAATGCCGTTCAGTTGGACTCTTAGCACATAGTGTGGTGCAGGAATGAGGACTAAAACTAAATGGGTTAGCATTTTACCATTTCTGGTTCCCTCCTCTCGAAGTCAAAGTTATTTAGAAAATGTTAGATTAGATGCCTAAAATAAGATCTGTGGTTTATACAAACTTAAGGTATTTTCTTAACATAAAATACGTCAAAATACACCCCACTTGCAAACACTTGAACACTTGAATCAAAGCATAGTGGAGCAGTGTTCGTAATTATTTTGAACATTGCAATAGTGGTGTGTGTTTGTGTGTTTAGTAGGGGTGCAACAACTAATCGACTTAATCGATTAAAATCGATTACCAAATTAGTTGGCAACTAATTCAGTCGTCGATTCGTTGGTGACGTCATCACATGTGTTCTACACCCCGTTAAGCTCCAACGTTATCGCTCTTTTGTATCGGTACAGGAGACATTTAAAAACATATGTTATGTATTATTGCTACATAAACATTATATCGCAGTCTTAGTGTCGCCAACTCAGTTTCTAATATGCAATATGACTACAAAATGCGTCTATAATGTATTTTCGATCTTCCGAATTCAGACGAGCGATCTCTCCCCCGCCTGCTTGCGAGGGGGCCGGGCAGTTTACACACACACGCAGGAGATGGCGGAGAGAACGCACTCCGAGGTGTGGTTAAACTTTAGCCGTCTCGATGTGGACANTGGAACACCACTACTAGTGTGCCCTTGAGTAAGGCACTTAGCCCTCAGTTACTCAGGGAGAATGTAATCAGTCATTGTAAGTCGCTTTGGAATAAGGCGTCTGCTAAATGCCTAAATTGTAAATTATATTTTTGGGAGAATAAACCCCAAAGATCCTCAACTCCGGTGTGTCTCACTCATTAACAACGCAACACAGAGCAACAAGAACATTGTTTACAGTAGCCATGAACTTGCATGTATTTACTTATTTGAGGGGGGGGTGGATGCATGGGTCACCCGAATAGGTTGAGGGGCCTTTACTTGGTGTGGTGCGGTGTCCCCACAAATATAATCAAATTCTGTGGGAAACACTGGTACACATATTCTTATTTCATATATTCTATAACTCATTGTATTCCATTTCACTGTACATTACTGCTTTATTTTATTGCTATTTCATTATTTTATTACAATGTCCTTAAAGATTTTTTGTTTTATATCAGATTCTTTGTTTTATATTTTATGTATGCACCATGACATCAAGTCAAGTTCCTCGTATGTGTGAACCTACCTGGCAATAAACCCGTTTCTGATTCTGATTCTGATATGAGGGCATTTTATTGTGGTAGTACTTTAATGTGGGGTGAATTTGAGTAACTTTGTATGCTGGGTAACCTACAATGCAATCTTATATACAGTATACATATACTTAAGTTGGATATTTGTATGTACTCAGTTCCACCATTGGCCGGTGCCTTGCTCAAGGGCACCACAGCAGGGCCCAGGAGGTGAACCTCTCCAAGTAGCAGTCCACACTCCATATTTAGGTCTGTTCGGGGACTTGAACCGGCGACCCTACGGATCACAGTCCAAGCCCCTACTGAATTTGGATCTTTTCTTTCACTTAAAGCTGCTCTCATAAACATGTTTATTTCAACAATGCATCCAATGACGATTCGTAAGAAGTAACTAACATTTACTCAAGTACTGCTCAACTTTAAAGAAATTGTAATTCACTTGAGTTTTTTAATTTTACAATACAATATAATACAGCTTTATTTGTAAAGAATTTTAAAGGTCCCATGTCATGGCCATTTCTACTGATCATAATTCCATTGTTGAGGTATACTAGAATAGATTTATATTGTGCAATGTTCCAAACTCACATTGGTTTCTCATACAGCATCTCTGTATAGAGCCTTGTGAGCCCAGTGTGCTCTGATTGGTCAGCTCGCCCACTCTGTTCTGATGAGTCCACCACGAATGGCCATGGTTACAATGGCGTTAGCAACCAGAAAATGACACCAGTAATGACAAACAGATGAGAATGCTGCGTGGGGTCTGGGTGCCGTGTTGGCGGGACGTTGCGGGGCTCGCTGCTGGAGCGGACAGTGTGAGCTGGCTTGCTGGTGTTGTTTCCTGGTTGCTGCGTGGGGTCTGCAGGACATGGCGAGGCCCGCAGCCTGGCTGTGGGTCTGTGTGTGTGCTCGGACCGGGCCACACACAGACCCGGTAATAACCGGAAAAGCATGACATGGGACCTTTAAGACCAAATTGCTGTAGCCTACAGAGAAAGAAAGAAATAAAAGACACAAATCACACAGCTCCAGTCACAAACCGTAAAATAAGTAAAAATACAAATAAAAAAGCTAAAAACAAAAGTAATCGTGAATAAAATATTACCAGCCATAAAACAATAGACCATTTAAAAGAAATAAAAGCAACAATCAAGTATTTAAGGAAATATGGAGGAACATATTGTACGGTTTGCTATACTATATTTCTGTACATTGCATATTCATTTTTTATATCCATATTAATTGTTTCTTGATTGTGTATCTTGATTTTTTTCAATTAGTTTAAGTTAGGCATCAATACACCCAACCACGTGAAACCCACTGCAATACAATTCTGATTCTGACACTAGTCCTTACGAACATAAACAAATAAACAAATAAACTTGACATGGTTATTTTAACGAAAGCTTTTGAAATTAAGGAATAATGTCGTTAGTCTCTTAAAAGAAAAACAACCTGTACATTTGATCTGTTAACTGAATGAGAAAGCTTTGAAGTGTAGGGAAAGTTGTAGAGCAGAGATGTCTTTGAGCAGTGCAATAATGACTCATACAGGGAGGAACAAATATAAAATGTCACATAGTTTTCTCATGACTTTAAACCAGAAGTGGGCAGAGTTGTTTGACTTAAATGGTGTTGATATGGGACAGATGTTGCTTTGGGTAAAAAAAACATTTCCTTGGGAAACCAGCCTTTTACATCAAACACTTATATAGTGAAGGTCAGAAATATGCAAAACCTAATTTTAAGTGGGAAAGACTTTTATTAAGAGAGAAAGCTTTGAATCAAAAATATAATGCACACACTCATGAGGGGATTATATTTACAGTTAAACCACGGGCAGGGAGAGGGGCTATTTCCCCCACAGTTCTCTGTTGCTGTTTCGCCCCTCCTCCAGTGAGCCAGGCACACCTTTCCTCTCTGGTCCTCCAGCGTTTCCTACCTTCTTGTCGGCTCTCAGCCTCGTTGTCTGGCGGTGAACTCTCACCCCAGCTGCTTGGGAAATGTCATACAGGCAGAGGCCCGTGCTGCAGTAGGGGGGCGTAATAGGAGGAAAAAATAACAACATTTTTGTACTGCTCTCACTGCATCTTTTATCCGCGTCTCTGCCGTGCAAGTGCCACATCCCACTACCAGCAGCAGCAGCAGCAGCAGCAGCCGCCGCCGATTCCTAATCGCAGTCTCAATGCTTATTTCGCATTAGGCTAATATAAAAAAAATCCGTGCCAGACATGTGAGTAGCAAACCATCGCTGTCGTCCTGACTGCTATGTGCTTACAAGCTATTGTATCCTTACACCAATGCGAACAAATGGTCATTGAACCGTGTTGTTGTTCATTTAGTGTCAGTGTGCTGCTTCCACGGTGGCTGAGCCGGGCTCCCCGCACTCTGACGCCGCAGATGGAGCCTCGCTGGCGGATTGTTTTGGGGGGCTCTGCGTCGGTTTGGCTAATTGAGCCAAACGCTGTGATTTTCGTGCTGTAAATAGCCCAGATAGAGGGAAAGCCCATTTAATCACTGGGCTGTGTGATAAGTGTGTGTACTGTAAACTATCCCGTTCTTATTTTTGTTTTCTACATTGATTGAAGGTAGCTGTGAATTGGTGGTGTGGAGTCCTGCCTGGCATCTCCAGTCAGATGTGGAGGGAGGCCCAGGTTAGAGCACATATAATGCGGCGGTGTTGATCTGAAATCAGTTTGAATAGCTCTGTGAGCCGAGTGGCCAGGAGATTTATAAATCACAGGATAGTCATTGGTGTGGCAAAGGATACATGAGATGTTGTTGTGTGTTTAGTTTTTTAGAGATCAAAACACAGTGTGTAAGATTATTTTGAAAATGTGTCCTGATAATCCGCTCTTTTTTGTTTAATTCATTTAAAAATGCAAACACATAGTTTGTTATTGCCATAAATCACTTGTGAAAAAAGTCACTATAGGCTAATCAAAAAAAGAAAACCATAGGCTATTGTTCTAATTATCATTTTTCGTATTTTTCTGAATATTTGTGATTAAATATAAAATATGTGAGATCAAATATTCTCAGTTTAATACTCACTAAAAGTAATCTGTTAAATGCTGGTTTTCCTGTTTGATTTCATTTTGACATCAGATAGGACAGAGTTAAGGAAAATTGTAAAATAGGTGAGAAAGAGGAATGATGATATGCAACAGGTTCAGGATTCCCTGTGTCCACATATAGTCTTGCAAAATAAGATACACATTAATATTTGTACATTTGGCTAATGCAGAATTGTTTTGACGGTTTTAGGGGGGATAACATGAAGCTTCTCTTGAAGATGTCTGTCCAACAATCTAACTGGCTTGTGACGACGATGCCCAGTCGAAGATCCTGGGATTGATCCGTAAATCCCTTTAAACTGATGGCCTGGACTAAGTAAGACGTTTGTGTGTGCCTGTTCCCTGAAGCTGCACATTCAGTGCTTTCTGAGATGGATAACTGGCATCAAGTTGCTGATAATGGTGGCAGTTGATGATGAGTTTTGTCTGTGTCAGGTTTCAGCTGGCCTGCTGAAGCTATGGGGAGCTGTTGGAGCTGTCTGTACAGAGACCCCATCCGAGACAACCATCTTACCAAATTTAAGGTAAACAATCCTACTGTAAATTTAAGTTCAACACATTTATTTGGATCTGATGCGTGATCATGTATTGTGATCATTGGTCTGGTACCCACCTGTTTACCACCGCTACATTTAGCATTTCTTTTCATGTGCGAGAATGCTGTCATTAACTAATCATTTAGATAGGGGTGTGAAAACACATTTTATCACATCAAATGTTTGGACAGCAATAAAATATTTGGAAATATTATGCGCTTTTGAATCAATTCATTTCAAGGGCCTGCTATCAAACTACAAGTTGGTCTGAAAGTGACCTACCTATCTACCTTTTAACAAAGAGAGTACAAATGACACCTTGTTGTTTAATATAAACTGCCACCGTTTCTAATGTTTAAGTACAACTGTTTATATAACTAGAGCACAGATGTTTCTTTTTTATCTTAATGGTCAGGTTAGTCATGGTTCCTAAGTATTTTATCTTACAGGGCAATTTTTGGCAAATGGCATGTACTTTGCCGCCCTTTGCCTGAAATCCCAATTTTTTTCACACCGCTAATTTATCTCCAAGAGGGGAGTACACATCCTTGTCTTTTTCACAGCTGCTGTTCATTATCTGGCTAGTGCTTGGATGCTAACACTGTTTGAATGTTTAGGTAGGAAATGAGTTTGGGCAGAAATGGTGACACAGACGTGCTATGGACCTTTTAAAAATAAAGTTGTATCTCAAAGATAATGAGATGTATTGATGTTTTCACTTTGTGTCAATGATATTGCATCGTTAATCACTTAATCAATCCAGATCAATATACCCATTGTAATTTACATAGTAATGCAATAATCTCCATTTACAATCTCTTATGATCCATGTTATATTCCCTTCCCATGTCCTAGGTCACCAATGTGGACGATGAGGGTAATGAGCTGGGATCTGGGATCATGGAGCTCACCCAGACAGAACTCATTCTCCACACACGTAAACGAGACGCCATCCGGTGGCCATATCTCTGCCTGCGCCGCTACGGCTACGACTCCAACCTCTTTTCTTTCGAGAGCGGTCGTCGCTGTCAGACTGGGCAGGGTGAGCAGCTGTTTCTATGCTTGTCTGTTGATATCTTTGTAGATAATTCAGTCTTATTAATCAAGGTAACAGTGCATATCAGTTGCACATGCAGTAGTGTTGTGGTTGTCTGCCAGCAGGTGTTCAGCTTTCGATATATAATTAACAGAGGAAAATAATTTTGGAGAAACAAGCTGAGCAAACGGTCACAACAGCGTTGGAGAAATTCAGATTTTTAACATGTACAATTTAATTCTAACAAGGAGTTCCCTGCAAAGATTTCATGATCCCGAGCTACTCCACCACACCACAGAAATCCTTTTGTTATTGTTTTCATTGAGAGACCGCTAGTTGCTGAAAATAACATAATGTTCATTTAACATGTTAAATGACACAACAGGAATGTTGTTTTCTAGGGTATAAGGCCCTAACATAACTCTCTAAACACAAAGCAAATATGGTGTGTTATCAGCATTAAGGAAATTATTTGAACTATTATAACATCTATCCTTTAGCCATAGCTTCCCGTGTCTTTTTCAATGTTACTGGTGGTCAAGTGCAGCCTACCAATGCTCTCGTTTATCCTGCTTTCGTTTAGGAATATTTGCATTCAAGTGTTCCCGGGCAGAAGAGATCTTCAATCTGCTTCAGGAGCTGATGCAATGTAACAGCATCAACGTGGTGGAAGAGTCGATGATGATGAGTCGCAGCGGTCACACACCAGAGATGGAAATGTCTCGCACACCACAGACTCCCAACAGTGAGTCACACACACACACACACACACACACACACACACACACACACACACACACACACACACACACACACACACACACACACACACACACCCCACACGCACATGCACGAGTAACAAGAAAAGCTAATTATAAACTTGAGATTAATTGTAGGACATGCATGCAATGCAGCAATTTAGCAGAATTTGTAAAGTTGTTCATCAACACAGCTAAACAAAATATACTGAGTCACAGGAACAAAAGTTTTCTTCAACACCAAGTAAAGCAGAAACGGCCATGGGCGCTTCAAATGGCCTGTTAGTGCTTGGAAGTTGCAGCTATGTCTATTATACCTTCTGGAAGGTTGTATTCCCATGGGGAACCATGCACAATCCTTTGCAACAATCCTTGACTGTTAAAAGTTTTAAAAAATAGACATTTCATTTGTGTTATTTATTTCTCTGTGCCACTGTTTTCAGTGTTGTAACTGTTACTATGCCATGTTAGGTCCTTCAATTTGAGAAGATTGGGCTTAGAAAGTATTTTCATTTAAAGTTCAAGAAGGTCTTGGACCCCCTGTGTGGGTAAAAATATTTCATTTTGAGATTCTTTTGATCCTATAGCTTACCTGTTTAAAAGTATAATTTTATCCAGCGGCTGTGGCACAGGAGGTAGAGAGTATTATTAGGGATGGTGGTTTGATCCCCAGCTACTCTAGTCCACAAGTGCTTTGGAAAAACACTGAACTTTCTTTCTGTTTGTACAGCAAGAGATTAGAAGCTTAAGGGCTTCAAATGCAGCAAACAGAGTGACATCTGGTGGATTGCAAAACATATAGCAGCTGATGAAAATCTTCTCTGAAAGAATTTACACTTTGGTTTTCTCCCGTCTATGTTATTGTTATTCACTCTACATGTGCGTCAGTCAAGCTGCTCTAAATCAAAATGCAGCTGTCAGGTTTTTAACAATAACAAGCCGTTTGTTTTTGCATCCTTCCACTGGCTTCCTGGAAATTCAAAATTAACTCTGAGATCCTGTTCATTACATATAAGGCAGTAAATGATCTTGCTCCAAGATACATTTCTGTTCTCCTTGTAACTCTGTCTGCCTCTTGATCCTCAGATATTGGCCTTTTATCCATCCCCTGCTTCTGTGTTGCTTTAGGCCAGTATTTCTCAAAGTGGGGGGCGCGCCCCAATATGCTTCAGACTAATTTGAAAGATTATTGATTCGAAAATAATATGATACAGTACACTG